GGTGTTCATCACAATGACAATAATTTATTTAATAGGTGAAGGTACAGATAGATAGAATCACACCATTTCAGATATGCCACACATGTACTTGTGCATCCAAATGCCTCCTTAGCAGAAATTAAAGCCTCATTCCACAGTTCATATTGTCCAGTAATCCCTGGGCTTACATAAGTAAATGAGGTCCTTTTTTGAATGCCAGACTGGGGAGGAACAGGATCTGCTCGGTCCCTTTCTACAAGGGGATCTGTTGACACAGAGGGGTTTTGCTGAAGGGTGCATCTGCAGAGTTCTGAAGAGGCAGGTCATGTCAGTGCTTAACCTCTTGCTGGTCCAGGTTCTTTGCAAGCTACTGGGGCCCTGCTGTGAGCATCCTGCCCAGTGCTCTGTACACAAGTGCTGTGGCTTGAATGTTTGTGCACTCCAAAACTTGTGTTGGAATGTAGTTGCCATGATAACAGTACCATGGCCAGGAACTTTAAGAGATAACAGAGATATACTGATTCTGCCCTCTTGTGTATGATGCTTGCTGCCACGCAAGGCAGCTTCAGCCCCTCTTGTCTCTTGGCCCTTCTGCCTTGCCTCAGATGAGACAAGAAGGCCCTCTCCAGATATGGGCACACTGATGTTGGGCTTCCCAGCCTCCAGAAATGTGATCCAACAAATTTTCTATCCATTACAAGTACTCATCCTGTGATGTCCTGTCATAGCAACACAAAGTGGATTAAGGCACACTCATATATTCAGCCAATCACCTTCTCAAGCCAAATTTTGTGCCGGGTTCTAGTCCCACAAGATTTGCCAACTCACAGCGGAGCCAAACCAACCTTCTGCCTGAGAAGGTTAGACCACTGTGAACTTCCAGAGTCATCACCCTGAGCTTCAGATTTCCTGAAAACATTTATTTTGGGAAACAGCTTGTCTTCTGGTTCCACACAGTTTATGAATATCTCCTAATATCTCCTTGGTTAGGAAAACTGTCCTCATTCAAAAATACCCGAGTTTCAAACTAGGGAGAAAGAAGGAAAGAAAGAAAGAAAGAAAGAAAGAAAGAAAGAAAGAAAGAAAGAAAGAAAGAAAGAAAGAAAGAAAGAAAGAAAGAAAGAAAGAAAGAAAGAAAGAAAGAAAGAGAAAGAAAGAAAGAAAAAGAAAAGAAAAAAGAAAGGAAGATAAAAAGAAGAAAAGGAGAGAAAGAAGAGAAAGAGGAAAAAAAAAGACTTTTTCTGATACAGTCTCCTGGAAATCACACCTGAATGGAAGCACAGGTGGTCATGCCACCCAAACCTGACTGAGTGCTCTCTGGGCCCTGCCAGAAGCAGCATCACCTTACTGCAGGCAGTAGTTCTGGCCATTCTCTGGAAATACAGTGAGCATCTTTAATAACATGCTTTCTTTTCTGTGTTTTTCTTGAAATGGTTGGAGAAAATTCATAAAGTTGAATTCAAGGTGAGCTTCCTGGAAACATGCAGAAAATTACCTGAATAGTCATCATTATTATTTCCTTTATTTTATGGGGGGGAATCTTTTTGTGTTTTACAGTTGATAGCCTACCGATTTATTCATCATGTCATCTAAACCTCAAGTTCATTAAGCAGAGTGTATTTCTTGCCTCATTTGAGCTTAGATTTACTGATATGTGCAAGGCCACACAGCTAGAATGAGGTGGGGGTGTGTTTAGAGTTCACCTTTTTTTGGTAGTTCCTAGTTTAGGTAGATCTATGGCCGTGTTCTTGAAATGGTATCAGGGTTCAGTCCATTGATAGCTACTCATTGGGTTGCCTTAGACTGGGGCCCTTGGGAATAGCTTCCATGTCAGATAGTCAGTACTTGTACTTTAAAATCTGGAAGATCACCATCTAATTGTAAATGATTAGAAATATATCAGTGTATTAAATGTTAATACTATTCATATTTGAAGGGTAAGAGAAATGTCAAGACTTAAAACTCTATTCTTGTCCTTTGGTGTGAAATTCCAAATTAAGCTGTTTGGAATAGATTTTTTCTATGATGCTTTGAGGAGCTCCTTTCCCCTCCTCTGCCCTGTTTTCATTCCTGCTTCCCTTTTTCTTCAACCTCTTCTGCTCTTGCACTTTCTGCCCATCTGTCATTTTCATGTCTTTAAAGTTCCCTGTCTCCTTGTACATGGACCAACCCTGATACACACAAAAGAAGGCAGATATTTGTGAAAACTCATCTACACAATATCATAGGACCACTTAAAGTGAGTCTCTGATTGTCAAATAATAAGCAAAAATGCCCCTAGTGAGAAAAGTGGCTCTTCACCCCAGGGAGAAGAAAGGGCAGCACCCCAAGGTATGGATTAGTGCTTGAATGTGGACTTAGAGGGTTTCTCCCTCATCTCTGGGTGCCTAGTGCCTGTTTCATGAGAGGAAGGGGAGATTTAGATAGCCCCAAAGGGTCACTTTCATCTGACAAGGAAGCCCATGCAAAACTGAGCAGGAAAGTGAGCACAGTGGTTTTGGCAAAGAAAGAGAAGGATCATTTCCCTCTGAATGTCAGGAAGAGAGGGCCAGGGTCCTGGAAAGGGTGTCCAAATGTGGGCTGTCTTCACGGAAGAAGAGAGATTGGCATGAGAACAACACAGGCAAGTTCTGCCTCAGTCTTCTCCATGACCCAAAGTGGTGTCCCACCATTCAGTGGCCTTCCCTGGCAAAGAAACCTGCCTTGTGTCTTTTTTGTTGTTGTTGTTTTTTGTTTGTTTGTTTGTTTTTCTGGTACCGGGAATCGAGCTCATGACCTTGCGCTTGCCAGCCTGCCTGTGTCTTAATTAACAGCAGTGGGAACATGGCCCAGAAAACCCCATAGGGAATGAGAAGTGCTTCTTCCTGGGATTTAGTGGTCTTCAGTAATACTACCTGAGCCCAGTGGTCTCATCTGCCAGTCAGTTCATGACAGGCGTAGTATGTGCTGGATCATGAGATCTTGATTTATTTTATCTTCATGTCTATAATATTCCCAGAAACTCATTATGGATGCACCCATTTTTCACATGGAAAGCTGCTGTTAGAAGAAGTGATGTCACTTGTCCAAAAAGGCAAGTGAGGGAATTGTTTTGCTGGCTATCCCTTCTGGCAGCAGATGGCTCGTGCTGCTCTGACCTACAGAGTATTTACCCCATCCATCCTCTGCCCTGCTGTTGGTTTGGCTTATAGATCAACCAGGCTTTGACAATGACAATGACAATGAAAGGGCTAAGGTAGCAAATGAAAACAGAGATGTATCTTGCACAGAATCATTTCTGTGTAAAAGCTCTCTCACTCTGAATCTCACAGGTCTCAATAGGGCTGCTTTAAGACAATGCTTTTATTTCTTTTGTGGCGACATGGAAATCAGAGCAGGTGCACTTTAGCAGCCTTGGAAATGGTCTGGGATTTTATATGCTTTGTATTTCCTCCTCCAAAGCTGCGTAGGTGCTGGCTTAGATGCCACAATACATTAGGGGTGATAGTGATTCTGTGTCACTATTTCTAAAGGACTTCTTAAATTACCTACGAACAGAACAGAAGACATTTGCATAGCATTTCCTTGCTACTTGGATTAATTCTTTTTGTGTTGTCACCTCATTTTTCAATCAAGATATGCTATTTAATTCTTTTCATTGTGCATAACAAGGTACTAACTCTTTGCTAGGAAATTAGTGAATTATATTAATTCACTGGAGACTTCATTTTCTCTCTTATTAAATAAATAGATCTTAGGATGAATTGACACAGTGCTTTGTCATATAGCAATGTCTTCGTTCAGGCTGCTGCAAATAAATGCCAGGAAATAGGCGGGTAATAAGCAATAGAACTTATTTCTCATGGTTAGGAAGATGGGAGTCTGAGGTCAAAATGCCAACATATTTTGGTTTGGGTAAAAGCTTCCTCCAGGTTTGCAGATTGACAGCTTCTATTTTGTCCTCCAATGGTTGACACAGTGAGGGGCTAATTTTCTGACCTCTTACAAGAATATTCTTGTTCCAAAGGACTTCACAGTTGTGAACTAATCACCTCCCAGACTTTCCACCTTTAAATGCTATCCCATTAGGGGTTAGATTTTTACATGAATTTTGAAGAGACACAGCGTTCTATTCACAAGGATCAAGACAACTGCCTATTATTTGGGAGCCTTGGTTTCATTATCTATACTAAAGCTCACCCTAGGAACGTGCTATGAAGATTAAGGAAAGTAGCACATTTGGAAAGAACTTTGGAAGCTGTAAAATGTCACATAGTTGGGCATTACTATGAATAAGTAATCGTGACCTTCTATAAGTAGAATATTATTTACTTTTGAAAGTTTATATATTTTTCTTACCATGTAGTTTCCACATTAAGCACTTGGAGGAATTCAAATATTTACTTCCCGCAGTAACCCTTTCCCTGAGTGCAAAAAGATCTTTAGTCCTTTGTCTTCCTGAAATTCAACTTAATTTCAAAATAGCACTTTAATCATTGTTTATATTACATTACAACCTTAAGGCCTAGGAAAGTTTCTTAAAACTTGATGTATGTAATGATTAAAAATAAGCATTTACCTAAAACACAGGACAGAGGGTTCTTCATTTGTGACCTGGGAACACCTCTCAGGAGAGATGGACTGTGTGAGAATTAGAAAGTCTTTGTGGGAGGTAGTGTGTTATTCTCTCTTTAGTCCTCATTCCCCTGACTTTCTGGATGGGGAAATTATGAAAGAATTCACAAAGGAGGGGACCTGTGAGCTTGTGAGGAATTTAGCAGATACTCAATTCCAACCCAGGAGCACTGCCCATTGCGTAAGTGACTTTACCAAGTTCATGTGACATTAAGACATGAACAAGGCTCTCTGGACAAGCTCTATGAGTAAATCTAAAGACACAAAATTTTCGGGGTCTTGTTCATCCATGATTTTAAGCTTTGTAATGCAATTTGGAGCCATGACTTTCCTAAAACAGATACCTGGTTGGACTGCAGGTACAGGACAATACTGGAACTCATGGGCTTCTGATTCTTGCTTTGCAGAGAGCAGCAGCCTGCATTCAGCCTGTGTCCATGAGGGCACTGTGCACAGCCGGGTCTTCCAGATCTTATACAGGAATGAAGAAGTGCCCATAAATGATGCTGTGATCTTCCGAGCTCATTTGCTCTTAGATGGTGAAAGGGTAAGTCATGAATCTCCCACTGGCCACGAGGGGCTGTTCTCCATCTTGACCTTTCCCTGTCCTGGTTAGGAAAATGGAAAGTGCAGTAGATTCTATCTCAAATCTGACAGCTAGGAATTTGCAATTTCAGAGTCCTCATGCATTTACTGATGTGTTCATGTTTCACCTGTCCTTTCATTCCTACACTGGTTCCTTCCATGTTGTCCCAAGTGCAAACAGTTTGCACTGATAACTTCCTGTCTTCTTTCTCCACTCTTTGCTTTCCCGTCTGTATGTCTATCAGACACTTGCTCAATGAACCAGCCCACAGAACTTTGTGAGTGTCTATTTTTCACTAGACTCTGTGTTGGGCCCTTGGGACCAATCTAAGGAAAGAGCAGCCTCTCTGCACTCCAGAGTTTGATAGTTTAACAAGGAAACCTACAAATAAACAATCATCTTGGTAGATAATATGCACTGCCCTGACTGTGTGCAGGAAACACTAAGGATAGAAAAATGGCAAGAGCATGAAGAGATGAACTCTGAGAGTGGCAAAGCTGACATTCATCAACCTTTTACAGGAGAGCTGAATTTCAGAAGCAAGTGCTAAGAATCTATCAGACAGAAAAAGAGGAAGGACATCCCACACAGGCATGAGAGCTCCGAGGCCTTACCACTTCAGTCCCTTTGCTGGAAACTTGGTTAAAAATCATTCATTCATCAAATTACCGTCTTTCCAAGTACTATATGAAATCCCACCTAGAATCCCTGTTGCTACCTTCCAGCTGATTATTTCTTGCCAGGAGAGTGTTTTATTTTTGGAAAACTTAAAGAGTTCTTCTTGCTCATATTCCCTATGGGTAGTACTATAATGACTCCTGTTAGGCATTTGATATCTTCCTCATCTCTGGCCCATGAAAGTTTTGTCCACATTTTTATAATTTAATTAGCAACCAGTTTTCTTACGTGCCTAAAAGTAAAAGCTGTCACTCATTCTTCACTTGTGAATGCATGTATCTAGCTATCCAAGAAGTATCAAAGAACTCACTAAGCACGTATACATGTTGGAGATAAAATAGTGAACAAATTTAGAGTAGTGGTCCACCCTTTAATCCCAGCACTCTGAAATTCTGAGGCAGGAGGATTGCAAGCTCAAACCCAGACTGGTCAATGTAGCAATTTAGCAAGACCCTATCTTAAAAAAAAATGGTTATGAATTCAGCTCAGTGAAAAGACCTTGGTTTAATCCTCCATACAAAAAAGGAACAAGAGAATATCCCTGGTGTTTGGGGCTTACTTTTTAAATGTTGGATCATTGAATCAGGCATCTTGGGATCATTCCATCTTAATCCTATTATAATCTTGCTCCCATAACAGCTTAAAGCCTTTCCAGTTTAACCTTATGAGGTCTTAACAACTTCTGAGTTTGAACAGGGAGTCTGTCTCACAGGACATACTGTTTTCTTCTGCACATCAAATTATTTTCTTCTATAAAATAATAATTTATTATTGTGTAACCCATGGGCAGCAAACAGTATTATAGCTACTCATTGCATCCAAATTAGTGATGGTTAAAATTAATTGGGTATGTCTGTAAGAACTGTGATCTGTGAATGAATACATTAGCTCTTTTCCAATGTTCCTGAAAAACAACGAACTACTAATAGCCTGGTGTCCAGAAAATGTGTTCACAAATGCCTGCCGCCATTAGTGTGAACAATGGACATTTATAGAATGGACCTTTATCCACCAAGGGTATACCATTCCACATGCTATAGGGAACTCGTAGTAACTTCAGTGAGGCTATGGGTGAGTGCATATGGTGACCATGGAGAGAACTAATCCCAGTTAAGGAGCACAATAAAATGTTTCAACAATACTAGCAAAGAGTGAGAATAGAGGTGGTATGGGTATTTTATTTTATATTCTGTATAATCTCACAGACATTTTAGGAAGGTTAACAAAATACAGAGAACAGTAAAAGGGATAAATAGCACTTAGACAAGCCAGAGTACAGGACACACATAGAAAGAAGAAAACCTGAGGTAAACACAGAAGGACAAAATACACAAGCATCCTCTAAACCTGGGATAATGGTGGCCTACGCGCTGAGAACAGATCTCCGAGCAGCCAAGCGGGAGAAGACACTCTTATTAACAAAACGCCCAGTGTTCTGAGAAAGAAGAGGAACAGATTAGATCAAAAAGGTTCTGCTAATAAAATTTCATCTTTGTAGGTTAAAGAGAGTACTTCTTAAAAGGAATTCCTGGTGCACTAATATTACAGTCCTTTGGCAGTAATTGAGCAAATTGCAGATTCCCTTGCACTTCTCAGACCTAATGACTTACACAGTAGTTTGCTTTGAAGGGTGGTGAATTCGTTCCAAGTTCTGGTAAGCAGGTCTGGCTAAGATTTCCACAGGAAGCAGGCAAGCGTTTCTGAGGCAGAGGAAAGGAGGACAGTGGAAAGCAGTAAGGCAGACAGAAGACGTAGGGAAAATGGGTCAGTGCCAGTGGCATAAGAACTGTCACTGGTACAAATCTAGAAACAAATATTGAAGGTATGGGGAACCACAGAGACCTCAGTGAAGGTCACCTGTTTAACTTCTAAAGGAAGGAGGCTTTGTCATTTCAGAAGAAAGAAAGCTGAAATTGACAGTGGCCAATTCGGCACAGATGTGGGAAAAGAATCCAGCAGATTGGGGCTGGGGATTTAGCTCAGTGGCAAAAGCGCCTGCCTGGCAAGCGCAAGGTCGTGAGTTTGGTTCCCGGTACCGGAGAAAAACCAAAAAAAAAAAAAAAGAGAGAGAGAGAATCCAGCAGACTGTTGGTGTGTAGGCTGTTACTGGTGTCAACTACATGAATGTTGCTGGGCACAGTGGCAGAGATAAAAACAGTTGAAGAAAAACAGGATGAATCTAAAGGATGAGCTGCATGTTGGCCAAGCATAGCCCATAGAACTTGAGCCCATAGTCTTTCACTGATTTGAATTCATAGTGAAGCCTAGGAAATGGAGGTCTCTAAGTAGACAGAAAGTTGATGGAAGCTGGCTCTAAGCTGTGGACATGATATGGCTTCAGAGATGTCATTGACAGTCCAGGGGTGTTTGGGAGATGCAAACTTCCTATTGGAGAACTATCAGAATTTAGATGAGTTGTAAGAACCATCATGCTGATCTTAACACTAATAGCTACTTACATTGCTTATACGGGTATTTCATGGCAGGTATTGTGCCCAGTGATCTCTGTAATTTCTCAGAATCATGAAGCAGTACAGGGTGCTTTATTAACCCCATTTTGTGGATGAGAATACAGAAATTTACAGATGTTAATCTTTTTATACTAAAGTCACACCATCCGGAAGTGGTAAGGCCGGGGCTTGAACCTAGGCAGTTTAATCACAAAATACATTTAATACATTTCTGTAAGGAGGGCTGTGGCAGACTTTGATGTATGATTAGTCCTTTATGTATCCAGGCCCAGTAGCAAGTTGGAAGTAATAGTGAAAATTGTCAACCCTTTGCATACATTTTCTCATTTATTTCATGTAATTGCATACTGAGGCATAAGCGTCATTAGTTTAATCCTACTTTACAAATAAGAAATAGCAGAAAGTTTGAGTTAGCAATACAACCAGGACTTGTACCATGGAGATTGATTTTAGACGTAACCTTAATCATCAAGCCACTACAGAGCTCAGGAGGGAAGTAGAGGAAGAGGAGGAGAACATATGAGTCATGACTCTGAGTAGAGTAGAAACCAACCAGAGAGAAGACACAGCCTAGAACACAGGTGTGACCATAGGGCAAGACCGAAGAAGCAGAACCCTGGAAAGGATCTGGGATACAGCACTCATTACCTAGTTAATCTTGGGGAAGTGACTTTATCATACTGAGCCTCTGTTTGCTCACTTCTAAACATGAGGTAGGAGAATAGGATTGTGGCAAACCTGTCAAACAATTGCACAAAATGTATCAAAGTCACAAGACCCAGGGAACATGCACAGAATACAGGATCCAGGATCACGGCAGCTCCTGAGCACTATAGCTGGAACCAACCAGAAAAGGGCTATTTTCAAATTCTTATCCACATCTGGGGGAAGGCAAGGAAGTCTTGCTATGGCGCACTTTAAGTGTGGTGCCACTGAGCTTTAGTTAAGACTGCTACTCCAATGCCTTATTTGCATGAAGGAAAAGCCCAGGAATTCCAAGTACAAAGAGCCCTTTCCCTTATCCTCACAGCCCCTGTGACTCTTCACCAGCACCCTCTCACTCTGCAGAGCGTACTTCATTTCCACCTTCAATAAATGCATATTCCCACAACCTTTTCTATGAGTCTTGTCCAGTTCTTTGTTCAGGACACCAAGAATATGGAAATAATTTCCCCAAGACCCATCACCAGGTAACAAATGGGAGACAATATTTCTTCATTCACAGTGTTATCCATATCAAAGAGCATAGTGTATGTACAATGCTAGCCCATGAGCAGCCACATAGAAATTTTCATAAATATTAGCCTCATGTATTATTCCTACTATTATACAGAACACACGATAACACATTCCTGGTGGTGAGAACACAACCCTTGAAGGGAGATGATGCCCTTAGGTGAGATACGCCATGGCACCGGAAAGGTGTGTATGTGTGTCCATGTGAGCATATGTGTGCATGCATGTCCCTGCTTAGAAGGACAGGTTGTTGAAAGTCATTCATGAAATCTGTGGTTAGAAGGGGCAGTGACTTCATTCGGGAGCATTTTGCAGGTCAGGTTTCCTGAGGTGGAATCACACGCAGGTTCAGTCTGACCACAGTTCCTAGGGATTTGCAGGGGATTTAAAACTGGAGCGCACTCTGAGTTCTCATTACCCAGGCAAATGTATGCTTGGAAGATGGAGAAGAGGGCTTACTTGCCAGTCTTATTTCCAAGAAATTGGTGGCAAGAGGGTGTGTTGCTTTCATTGTGTATATGAAGCGAGGTTCCTGATTATGCAAAACAAATCTAGGAGAGGTGGTTATTTATAGCACTTGGATTCAGCAAAATGTTAGCTTTTCAAATACTTTTTTTTAAACAACAAAATTTAAACCTTGAGGACCTAAAGATAAATTCCATCCATATGTCTCTGCCTGAATTAGCTTAAGCAAGAAGATGTTTCCAATGAGGCCTTTGAATAAGAAATTTTCATCCCTTCAGGATGAACACATTTCTTGCAAAGAAACCAAAACTCAAAGAGACAAGAAGGGGAGGAACTTCATTCCTAAAATGTATTGGTACTTTGTATGCAGCAAGCAGTATTCCTGGAGCTCAGAATCAAAAATGAATGAAGACCAGTTTCCTCCTTAATGTTATACAGAGAAGTGGCAAAATTTAGCAAGAAAATAACCAGGGGGCTGAGCCATAGGCCAGATGGATACTGTCAGTGTATGTGGTGGATCAGGGATAAATGCAATAAGACCCACTTGTTAGCTTTAAACAGGTCTACTAAATGCCAGCTCCGCATTGCCAGATCCAGTGATATTATTTCCAGAATCTAGAGACCTGGAATACAAATGTTAAGTTGCCTGAATTTTAAATGTTTATAGCTTGTTTGAAACGTTTTTTAAAATACTGTGGGGAATAAACAAAACAGGTCTGCAGATTGCACTTGGCTCATTGGCTCCCAGCTTACAAACTTGAAACAGTTATGGAAGCATTAAATGCTGAGATAGAAAAGAAGCAGGGCTTTGTGTGTTACACAGAAGGGCTCTACCCAGCCCAGGAGCAGGAGGGGATGATGTCTTGTCACACAGGGGCGATATTGACACTGGCTGGGACACTGAACAGATGTAGTGGTGAAATCTGACATCTCCCTAGAGTCAAGGTGGTGATATTAAGTCCAAGGAAAAATAACTGGGGATACTATTTTTTGAGTGCATATGAGAAGTGAAAACTTTTAAGCTAAAGAAGAGAGGGGCCATGGGTAAGACATGAAACACTAAAGGGAAAGATCTTAGAGTATAAATGACTATGTGGTCACTAGAGTCTTAATACAAAACTGAAGGAGTTGCATTGTTAATAACTTAACCCATCTTGGGAAATGACATCACTTCCTGTTCTGCACTAAATGGAAAATGGTAGCTGTCATGACAGGAACTTGAGAGTCAGAGGTTAATTCATCGCTTACCTCCTGTGACTAGCTAAGTGAGAACTCACTGCAGGTTCACTGCTCCGTCTTTTCCAAAGCAGGTGTGCTCTGAGATCCTTCCCTTCTTTCTACGAGAATTCTAGGTCCAACCCACTTTCAACAATTCTACATCCTGTAAATACACTGAAGGTAAGGGGAGAAAAAACAAGTCAAATAGTAAGAAAACTTAACAATAGTTGAAAGATCTTGAGACTATAATGCTAAGTGAAATAAATTAGGCACAAAAAATTAAATAATATATGGTTTCTCCTTGCAAGAGAAACCCAAAAAATAAGTAAAGAACAAAATGAACTTGTAGGAGACATGAAAGTGTTCTTTTTGGAAATGGGAAAGGGACTGGGGGAAGGAGGGAGAGGGGAAGATGATGAAGAAGGAATGTAAGACTGATCAAGATGTGATAGGTGTGTGTACTGATTTCCTAAAACAAATGTCATTACTACATGTCACAACATATACTAATAAAACATTCTTAAAAAAAAGAAAATAAGCTTTCCAAACTGCTACATGAATGCATCTCTTCCATTTTCTATGTAACACTCCCAGATGACCTGTTCATCCAGAACTCCACAGAACATGTATGAAATTCTGTGTTGAGCCTGAATAACATTAATTTCATGGTGAGATTCTGCTTCTCCTTTGGGACATAGATCAGCTGATTCACTTGGACAGGAGCTGACTTGTGAATTCTCTTGGATTTTGTTTCTCTTGCAGGTGGAAGATGCTCTGAGTGAAGTCGATTTTCAACTCAAGGTGGACCTGCACTTTACAGACAGTGAGCAGCAGTGAGTGTCATTAGGGACCCTTGAATTATGGTGGCAGGATGTCTTCTTGACCCCTGCCTCCCTACTGGGGAACCTCGTGGTCACAGTCGTTGGAATATCTCTCAGATGTCCAGTGCCTCACAAGCTGCTGTGTGCTGCCTCAGGTCAAACTGGGGTTAAAGTGACAGTGTGTGTGTGTGTCCCAGGGGCATGTTTGCCTGGACATGCTCACAACCAATGAGACACGATTCCCTAGAACGTGGCCTGAGAATGTTGAGTAACATTTCAAACTGTGTGCACCTTTGGCAAGTATCTCAAGCTCCATATACACATACTCAGAATACTCCCACCTTCCTGCCTTTTGGAACTCATGCCTTCTACACTTTATACATTTGCTGTGCAGTCATAATTGGGAGTTTTCGAATAATGACCCCATGAGGCCACAGAATTCAAAGCCCCTTCTGAATCAGAAGAAGTTCTGCCATGGTGTCCTACATCTTTTTACTGAATATCTGCTACTGTGTTTCAACTCTCTGCACATTTAAAATCCATTTATTGATAGCCTGCTGCTGGCATAAGTGGGAGGCCAATTTCTTCTTTCTCACAGCTGCTTCCTTTAAGTTGTTTGTGGCCTTTTCCTCCCACCCCCAGGGTAATCATTTATGTCACCTAGACTCTCTGAGTTCTTTGCAGTGATAAATTATCCTTTCATAGGTATTAAAATGCCCAGCAAAGTGTAATATCAAATCTCTAAATTCTCATCCATTTTATATCTTATTTTATTATTTCCTTTCTCCATTGCACCCCAGGTTTAGGCTTAGGGTGGGAAACTCCCAGAGCAGAAAAACACACATGGGTAGAAGAAGACTTTATACTTCTTCCTCAACTTTTTTCCTTACTGTGGTTTGTGTGTCTGGAGGAGTGCGGGGGTCCACGAGGAGGAGGAAGGTGGAGGAAGGGACAGGGGATCGTGTTTGATTGGTTGTAAGCTGGGCCCTTTCCTTAGGCAGAGGCTGAATCATCCTTGGGACATTCTTGTGAATTCCTTGGAGATATATTCATCAGATAACACTCCACCACACAATCCCAGCCCCACCTTTGGAGCCTCTGAAATAGCCAAGCTTCTTATGTCTTGTGGAAAACTCCTTGAGGCAGACACTTCTCCAAAGGACCCACATCTGCCTGTGGGTTATGCACAAGTTATTTTAACCCCCTTCCCATATTCATGGGAACCTACTCATGCCAGGCTACTCCAGCTTCCCCAAGCTTCTCTCCTGGGGGCGTGTCAGGGTCCGGAACCTGTGTTTTCATAGCTCTAGGGGACCTACTGCAAATTCCCCAGAGGGGGTCTCCTCTTCTGATTTAAAGGGAAGAGAGGTACAATTTCTTCCACCTAAATTCTATGGTCAGAATCTCAGCACATACTGACCACTCTACCCACATGTCTGGTCTCTGCAAGCACTTCAAGTGTTTGGGGAATCAGGAAACCAGTGGGCAGATGCTGGTAGTGTTTACCCCATCTCTTCAAATTTCAGAAGAGCTTTGATCTACTGATGCTTCATAGCCAGCAACTATCTCCAGGATGTGCCGCAGATGCCTTGTCATCCTTAAATCCGATTCATGAAAGTGAAAAAAGGATGGCACTTCCAGTCTTCCCAGCCTCTGGCTTCCTGTCCCTCTTAGCTAATCTCATGGATATCTCCCCTTTCCAAAGACTGTTCCCTCTCTGTTGCTGTGGCTGTTTGCACAACATGGGGAGTTGAGTCAGAGTGGATAGAACCCAAACAGGACCTGTCCTGAAGTGTTAGCCACAGGTTAGCCACAGGATCCTGCTGTGGATTTCAAGTTTAGAGGCCTGATTGTGATGGGCATTGAGAATGGATGTGTGCAGGTGTGCAGCTGGTATAGGGCCTGGGATCTGGGCTTTCGGGAGTGTCTGTCCTTGATCCTGACACAGTGTCTGGGATCAGCAGGGTCCATTCCCCCTGCCCTTATCTTCATCAGGTCCATAAAGATGCCTGGTATCCTCATCACATATGTTTCCCCCATGGTTAAGTAGTGGATGCTTAGGAAATCTTATCCATAAGCCAGGCCTGGAGCCACATACTTGTAGTCTCAGTACTTTGGGAGACTGAGGCTGAAGGATCACAAATTTGAGCCCAGTCTGGACAATATAGTAAGGATGTTATCTCAAAAAAAAATTTTTTAAAGGATTAGGAAAAACAAGGCTAGTACCAAGGCTGTTGCTTCAGTCCCTACCACTGAAGAAAGAAAATCTTATCTATTATCTCAGAATCAAAACTTCTGATTCTACTGTTCTCATGTTTTCCTCTACCATATGGGGTCCCTTTCACACACTCCTGGCATCCAGTGTCCTCAAGCCCACATCCTTGGGAGACTCCCGTCCACAGCTCCCTGGTGGACATTTGCAGCTAGCCACAGGATCCTGCTGTGGATTTCAAGTTTAGCCTGTAAATTATTCTCTATCAATTTTATAAGAAGCTTTGGTGATAAACCATAGTGGACAACAAGACATCCTTGCCACCAAAAGAGTAACAAATGATGAACCTGGGTACAGGAAATTGGCCCAAATGATAAAAATGCAGCAGCTGCACCCTGAAATATAGGATAAACTTCTGTATTTTTCCTAGCCTTGGTAGCCTTGTTTATAATACAGTCATCAGTATTAGGTCTGTTATGAAGATTAGCAGAGATAATATAGGTAACAGGCCAGAGCACGGCCTGTGGGATAAACGTCTTCTTCCTTTTCCTGTCTTCCTAGACGCAAGTCAGGCCAGGCTTGAACGTGTTGCTTCCTCTCCTTAATACAAAGCACTTAATAACAATCAGCGCAGGGGGTTCTCGTGAAACACAGGATGAGCTTAGAGGAACAGGAAGCCAGAGGCTGGGAGGATTGGAAGTGCCATCCTTTTTCATTTTCATAAATGGGATTTAAGGATGACAAGGCATCCATGGCACATCCTGGGGACCGATGCTTGGCTCTAAAGCATCAGTAGGTCAGCAGCTTCTAGAAAGCAAACAAAAAAAAAGCCAAAGCACGGTCTGTAATGCCAGGGTTGGAGGGGCTCTTGATGTGCATCTCATTCAGTGGATCTCGAATCAGGTGGGAAGATGCCACTCCCTCGGGAATTTGGACCATAAGGAGAGACATTGTCAGTGGTGTCTGGATGTAGAATATTATTGTCATTTTGCAGGCGGAGGCCAGAGATGCTGCTGAACATTCAAAAAATGTCCAGAATACTCGTGCTTCTAACATAGCAGTATTATGTCTCCAATGCCAGTGTCACCGAAGTCAAGTAGCCCTGCTATAGTCCGCCTCGTGCTTGTACTTGTGGCTTTGCAAGGTGTCCTTGGTACATATTTGCACCACATCCGTTTCTGTCCTGAACAGCTCAGCCACCAGGGAATTCTCTCCCATGGATAAGTCCTCCTTGTGTGCCTTCCCTAGATCGACTTCAATTTTATTCCTTGCTAATGCAGTGAGCTCAGCCTGGATGGCCATTCAGGCGGGAAAGGTCTTCATCCTAGGTTAAATCCAGGGCTCTCTGCCTGAGACCATGCTGTTTTGTTATTGTCCACTTTTTGTGTACTGTAGTTCTTCCTGATAAGGCAAACATTCTCCTCTCAGTGCTATCGTTTGTCTCCAAATCTTGTAAATTGAGACCACTCCTCCATTTCCAGGCCCACAGCCTGATATTCAGGAGCAAGAATGACCTCTATCCTTTTCAGAGCGTAGGTGTCAATCACATCCCTCTTTCTTAATTCTTTGCTCCTGTTGATGTGGGTTAAATTCTTGTTAACCTGTGTTACATCTTTGCTATCCTGAAACATCTTTAGCTGCCAGTTGCTCATGCCCACAGGGATTTTCTGTAACTCATGGAGCTGTGTCTGAAGGCACAGAAAGCAGTGTTGAACAGTAGTCAGTACAGGTTGTGGAGTCAGAAAGACCTTGTCTAGCATTTCAGTTTGACTCTGTGACTCAGAACAAGTTAATGAACTCATTTGGCTTTAATTCCTCTGCTGTAAGTGGAGTAATGTTGGTAAACACCTCACTTGGTGTCCAGCAGAATAACAGGGGGAAGCAGTGTGGCCAGTTCATAGTCAGGCCTTAAGGAGTTGTCCTCAAAATTACAGTAAGCATAAATGGTAGCGGCTTTCTGAGACTCATGTTATAAATTCCTCATCCTCTTCTCATAAGTTCCTTGCTGATGGAAAAGGAGACCTTACACATAGTGTATTTGCAGTCGTGCTGGTCCTGTGGCTCAGGTGGCTCTTACTGGGCTTCTGTTTATGTGAGGCAAAAACGATAACCACTGCACTATGGAATCCAATTGGCTTCTGTTTGCGAACAAGCACCAAAGGCCCCGAGGATGCACAGCTACTGGGTTGGTTGGTGGTGGCCATTCCTTTCATCCACCATCCCTGTTCCTGGGAAACTTTCTCTCTTCACTATGCTCCTGGAGGATATTCATCCTGGTTTCTCACACGCTCTTGTTCAGCACAATTTGCAGAGCCTTTGGTTCATTTTGCCAGCTGTAGAGTTATGCTCGTTCTCTTGTGTACCGACACAGCAGCTTTGATTTTGAGGAGAATCAACCCCTTTTTACAATCAAAGATGCTGGCAAGCTTTGCGTGCTAGCTGGTTATCTCTCAGGAGCAGACACACACCCTTTGCCAAGTGCATGAGCAGAGGTGAGGGAAGATTCATAGAACAGGCCCAACTGTTCGAATACAGTGTTGTGGGAGTCATCTCTGCTTCTGGTCACTCAGTCAATCAGGTGTATATTTTCCAAAGCACATGCTTGACCAGTTTCCTCAGGATTCCAAATACAAGGTTGGTGTTGGAGATACTGAGATGTATTAGTCATAGCTCCTGTCCTTAAGGTGGCAGAAATCTAATAGAAAGCGCAAGCTTAGGAAGTGGACTAGAGCATGGGGACAGAGAAAGAGAAGTGGGACAGAGAGTCAGGAGGGCTGCAACATTGAGAGTAGACTTGGAAAGAGAGTGGAACACCTTAATCCTCACTGATGTGTGGGGTAGGTTTCATAGCCTAGATCTGCTGTGTGAAGTCTTGGTGTCTTCATTTGCCAGACACCAGAAAAATGATTGCTCCCAGGCAGGGTATTTGCATGACTGGATAAGGCAATGTATGCACAGTGGTTGGCCTGTGGAAGGCTGAAATATGGGTCGGTTTGAATGACAGCAGAGACAATCCACTGTCACTCACATGTGGTCACTGTCTTGCCTTCCAGGCTGAGGGATGTGGTTGGGGCACCAATGATCAGCAGCCGCACACTGGGCCTGCACTTCCACCCCCGGAGGGGTCTACACCACCAGGTCCCTGTCATGTTCGACTACTTCCACCTGTCAGTGATATCGGTGACCATCCATGCTGCCTTGGTGGCTCTGCAGCAACCCCTGATCAGGTATGAAGTTAGGTGCATATCTTATTTGTGGGGTGGCAGAGAGAACCACCATTAATGCAGACCAGAGAAGCTTCACCTAGATTGTAGGCATAAGCAGGGACCTCGCTGTGAGAAACAGAAAGAGCTGTGGAGAGCTGTGAAGAGCACAGCAGGAACATAGAGGAGCCCAGGGTCTGAAAATCTGCAAGCTGCGACTCATACTAGGAAGACATTGATTTTGCCATGGGCTTCACTTTTTTCCCAGCTGTGCCTCAGTTGGAATGTCACCTGATATTCCAGAACTACATAATACCCGTCTTTAAACAAGCACATTGTGTCCCATCTGCATGAAATTTGAATGGATCCCGGACGAGGCACGTGGCAAAGGTTTCATTATGTTTCTTCTTCCCCAAATGTAAGGCCTTTGCTTCCCCCTTCACTGATTTTCCCCACAAACCTTCTAAAGTCTCATGAAACACCGACTGTATGAATTCTGTAAGTGAAGGAACAGCACGGACAATCGCTAGCACAGTGTGACCTGCATGGCCATTCATGGTGCTGTCAAGATGGCCAAACTGGGAGACTTAGAACACTTCAAAACCTCACCCATGCATATGTGCACGTTTCACACAGGCAAAGGGATACTTAGGGGCAGAATATTGAGAAATAGAGTGTTGGAAAATAAAATTTTTCAATTTCCCTTTTCTAGACAGCTTCCTCTGTGCTGAGAGTTTAAATGGAAGACTCCAGTCTTTCCTAATTTTGTTGTGCATGTTTGAAGACTCTGTTCTTTGTTGAAGTCTGGGAGTAGGAAATAATATAGCAACCCACAGCATGAGATGTGACAGGGAGCTACTGCCTCTGGAGTGTACAAACCAGTTGTGCTGTCCACTGGCTCCATTCCAATCTGAGTGTTTCTGGCTAACAGGGTCATTTCCAACATTGTAGACCAAGATCAGCAGGGCTATCACATGTGTATCAAGTAACCAGAGTACAGAGAGCAAAATATGGTCCTAGGAAGGAAGAGTAGACTGGGCTAATGGAGAAGGCAAGGTAAATGCTGACAGGGAAACAGCAGACCACGCAGGAGAAAATTTGCAGTTGTATTGGCTTTTGGCAGAGGAAATCATGCATGGGAGTGGAAACGAATGCACATGGCAGGAGCTGAGAGCACCGAGTTGAACAGAGCAGGCATCCTGAAGCTATGGGCCAAGTCAAAAGGCTCATGGGCCTCAGTGCTTTGCTGAGAAGTTTGAACATTTTCCTGTCCCAAACCCTGACAGAAACTGAGCTCTGATGATAAAGGAGATGATTGGATGAGGGAGTCACTCTTCATTCTGGTTCCATTAGGTAGGTGTCTGCTGGGGGCTGCTGTGCTCTGGGGAGGGTGCCAGGTCTCTGCAGCAATGCTGCCGTGAGACACCTTGGATACACTTTCCTTCAAGTGCAGGGGCCCATCTGACTGTGTGGAGCTGGAGCATGGTAGGTGTAATTGTGGCCTACTTTGACAGAAATCATTATAATATTCATTGTCTGTAGGAACAAAAGAAGGCATATCTGACCTTGGGAAGTAGCAGCAGAGATAGAGTTCAGAAAGCAGCAGGAGCATCATTCTTCAGAAAAGCATAATCCCTAGGTGTTACTTCACTCTGAGACTTGGCAAATAGTGCTTTGTGCAGAATGCAGGGTGTGACCTGTTAGGTGCCAGCAAAGGACAACTAAGGAGGCAAGGCCAGTACAGAGGGTGTGTCCTGGGATCAGCAGGTTATTCTGCTGAGGTGAGGTGGAGCTCCAGGGTAGGAATGGGTTGTTTATCTTCAGTTGGATTCATGACTTTCATTTTTTCTAGCCGCATGGCTTAGTTCCTGGGAATCTAAACATCTGTTTCAACATAGGAACAACCAAATAAGTAAGAAGATTTATTTTTTCAAAATCAGAAGTGGTGATAAACACACAGGGATGATCAGCGGATTCAGCAAAATGAGGTGGAGTGTGGCACGTGTGCTAGAAATGTGCTTGCTTCAAGGTGGGGGTTGCTGACCTTGAGATACTGGCACAAAAGCCAAAGCTGGAAGCTTTGAAGTTGATAGATCAGGTCCTGATGTGAAAAGGCTTGCAGCTTCCACAAAATGCCTATAAATGTCGCACTCTTATT